CGCTGCCCCCCGGGCTGGGCGCAGCCCCCCAAAGCCCTGCCGTCCCCGCAAGGGCAGCGGTGCAGGACACGGGGACCCGCCGTCCCCTGGCACAAGCCACGCAGCGGCTGTCCCTCCCCGGGCTCCTCTTCCTCCCGGGCAGCCCCGGCCACGGGGACCGTGCCAGGCTGTGGCCGGAGGAGCCTGGGGAGGGGACACGACGCATTTAGCCCTGTTTACAGTGGAAACAGGAGCTCGAAGGCCACCGGGCAGGCGACGAGCCAAGAGCATGAGCCGGCAGCATGGGAGGGCAGTGCAGGCAGGGCGGCGGGGGAACCCCGGGCTGCCGCCCCGCAGAGGGTCCCAGGGTGTGAGGATAAGGCAGGGCAGCACACAGCCTTACCCAGTATCTCGAAAGGGTCTTCCTTCCCAAAATCGGGGGTGAGGTAGGGGCTGGGGGGTGGCTCTGCCTCCGTCGAGGAGGGTTGCCCCCCGGAGCCAGGCTGCTCTGTGGCCCCAGTAGGATCCGTGGGCTGCCGTGCGGCACTGGGCAACGTCCTCTCCTGTGGGGTGCCAGGGCTCCCCGCGGGGATGGGGGGCTCCGGGGGCTGCAGGTCCCCCGGGGCTGGCGGGGCAGGGCCAGGCTCTGCCGGACCCTCTCTCGTGGCCTCCTCCGGTATCATCTCCATCACCGCTGCGTCCACCCAGGGCTGCTCCTCCCTGGAAGCAGGAACAGGAGATGAGCAGAGCCCAGCCAGCAGTCCCCCCCGAGACCAGCGCCCACCTCTGCCCAGAGGGACCCCAGGCTCCTCGGGGAGCAGCGAGGGGAGGGGACCCCATCCCAGGAGGGTGCGGGTACCTTTGGCAGGCAGCTGGGCAGCTCAGGCTCTGCAGCAGAGCCGGGCGCTGGAGCTTGGGGCCCCTTGGCTGCTGCTGCTTGTCTGCCCCCTTCGCCATTGCTGCTTTCTCCCCTTCGCCCTGAGCCCGTGCAGCAGGCGCGGCCGCCACCTCTGCGGGCTCCTCGCCTCCACGCCCAGCCTCTGCTGCAGCTGGGGCGGGTTCCACCTTTGCAGCTTTCTTCCCTCCATCCTGCATCTTTGCAGCAGCTGGGGCTTTCTCCTTTGCAGGCTCTTTGCTTCCATCTTGAGGCTTCTTTGCAGCTGGCGTTTCCTCAGCCTTTGCTGCTGCCGGCTTCTCTCCATCCTGCACCTTTGCAGCAGCCGGGGCCTTCTCCTTTGCAGGCTCTTCTTTGCCTCCATCCTCAGCCTTTGATGCAACTGTGGTTTTTCCTACCTTTGCAACTTTCTTCCCTCCATCCTGCACCTTTGCAGCAGCCGGGGCCTTCTCCTTTGCAGGCTCTTCTTTACTTCCACCTTGAGGCTTCTTTGCAGCTGGCGTTTTCTCAGCCTTTGCTGCTGCCTTCTCTCCGTCCTGAGCCTTCGCAGCAGCTGGGGCCTTCTCCTTTGCAGAAGCTGCGGCTTTCTCCTTTGCGGGCTCCTCTTTGCCTCCATCCTGAGCCTTTTTTGCAGCTGGGGCTTTTTCTGCCTTTGCCACTTTATTCTTTCCATCCTGAGCCTTTACAGCAGCTGGAGCCTTCTCCTTTGCAGGCTTTTTATCAGCTAGGGTTTTCTCTGCCTTTGCAGCTTTCTTCCCTCCATCCTGAGCTTTTGCAGCAGCCGGGACCTTCTCCTTCGCAGCAGCCATAGTTTTCTCCTTCGCAGCAGTTGTAGTTTTCTCCTTCGCAGGCTCTTCTTTGCCTCCATCCCGAGCCTGTGCTGCAGCCAAGGCTGTCTCCTCTGCAGGTTTTGCCTTCCCTCCTTCAGCCTCCGCTACAGCCGGAGCCTTCTCCTCTGTGGGCTCTGCTTTCCCACCACACTCAGCCTCTAACCCACCAGAGGCTTGCCCCTTCTTGGGCTCGTCCTTCCCTCCATCCTGGGCTTCTACTACAGCCGGGCCCTTCCCTTCCGTGCCTGCTGCCTGCCCTCCTGCAGTTGGAGCCTTCTCCTTCCCAGGCTCATCTTTCCCTCCATCCTGAGCCGTGGCAGCAGCCAGCACCTTCTCCTCTGAAGATGCTGCCTGCCCTCCATTGTGCTGCGCAGCTGAAGCCTCCTCTGCCGGCGCTGCCTTCCTTCGATCCCCGGGCTCTGGAGCGGTCGGGGCCGTCTCCCCCGCTGGCTCTGCCTTCACTCCTCTGGCCTCTCCCGCAGCCTTCTCCTTCCCAGGCTCTGCCTGTCCCCCATCCTGAGCCACAGCAGCAGCCAGAGCCTTCTCCTGCCCGGGCTCATCCTTCCCTTCATCCTGCGCCCCGGTGGCAGCCAGCACCGTCCCCTCCGTGGGTGCTGCCTTCCCCCCTTGGGGCTGGGCAGCCTGCAGAGCTCCTGGGACCG